GGGCAATGAGCCAGGAGGCATCCTTGAGGTGGTGACGAGGCATGCTTGCTTGGCGCTACAAGTCATCAAATGGGTGTCCTTACCCAATTTGAAAATGAGAGATCAAATTGGTCGCTAGCCCTACCTACTTAATGCTTGCCCACGACCTGAAAGCTCGGACATCTTCAATCCTTTTACTTTGAGCTTCTGTTTTGTCATGCAATGAATTCAAATTCCTATACAGGTTCTTGTGTAGTTTCAGGAAGGCATGCCTGTATTTCCACTTGTCACAGTAAATGTTATGTTCTGACATGTAACTAATGATCTCCATCACCCTTGAAAAATATCCACCTTTAAGAAAATTCAAAACCAAGCAATCAAGCAAGTCCCTATCCAAATCTAGCTCTCCATATTCAAGTCTGCGCTTTATTTCTCCCCACAGCACGGTGATCTCCCTATGCATGCCCATTGAAGAATAACCACACAATATATGGCAAAAAGTATGACAGGTGGGTCTGATATTTTGCTCTCTCATACGCTTATATGTGCAAAGAGCATCTTCCATCATTTTTGCCTTGCAGAAGAAAAGAACCGAATTATTGAACTCTAATGTCAAGTGCTCTCCAGAGTTGTAATGTTTAATTTCATCAGCCAAAGCAGCAAACAAAGATGAACTACTGCGGGGTATTTCATATTTCACTACTTTGGCAATATTCTTGATGGTAAATGGTGAATTAGTATGAATATCATCCATGGTAGATGCTATCTTTTGTATCTGTTGAAGAAGGCCATTGAATTCTTCTGACTTATTCTCCTTCTCATATGCTCTCAGAAGAGAAATGTAACCAGTAATCCCGACTGGAATCCCGGCTGACTCCAAATCATCTATGATATCATGAGCAGCACGCAACCATCCCATTTGAATGAATGAATTAACCACATCATGAGGAGAAATTAGCTCTAGACCATCTTTATGTGACGTAATAAAAAAGCTGGACAGTATATGCATATTCCTTGATTTCATACAGCCAATAACAAGTTTAGCAAGAGCCTTTTCAGTATGAAGAAGGTTTCCATCAGTAAGAACAACAAGGCCGAATTGGCTTTCTGTACCCAAAACAAAACCCCTGTCAACCTTTTCAGGATCAAACATTATTCTATATCCGCTTTTCAGATTTCCAGAGCCAATTTGTATGATACTTTGTTTCTGCAAACCATTGCAAAAGAAAGCACCAGATTTCCGTTGCTGATGCAGATCGATTAAAAACTTTGCAGCAGCATCCATGTCATTATATTTGAAATGCAGGCTCAATAGACTGTCATAAAAATGCTGGTAGTACTGACGAAATGTCAAAGATGTTAAAGAGTCGATGCTTCTTTTCATGTGTATCAACTCATCTCGTTGCCCAACCATCTCAAAGACACGGCTAGCCATCACCACTGTATTTACATCGGCCACAACTCCGATCAATGACATCAGTTCCATTATTTTCTGGGCCTTGATAATGCATTTAAAGTTCACGCATGACTCCAAAACCATATTGAACAAGGTGACATTGTTTTTTATTGGATCTAGTTTTTTCATCTCCCGCCTATCTGTAACTTGGTCCAAGAAACTCTCGCAAGTCTCAATCAGAACATCAGTGGAAAGGTAGGATCCTACCTGTGACTTCAACATATGCAGAAATACCATGCTCAGCATATCAACATCAGGAAGCTTTCTACTCTCCAGTATGATCCTCAGGACCATGCAGGCTGGGACAGGCATCTGATCTCTCGCAAGCGTCAATGCTAGCCTCATTAGTGAGCCACAATTGAGAAGATTTCTGTTAATTTGATAAACTGAGAGAACCATGTCAAATGCCCTCTGAAGCCACCTCCGACTAGACATGTAGGTCAGCGACACAATCATACTATTCAGTACCCGAGGCTCAGGAAGACCGTGAAGCTTCTTGTAATTGCTCAAAGATTGCAGCGCCTCTTCAACATTTCCATCCTTCATAGCACAGTCTATCTTCGTCAACAGAGTATCACGGGAAGGCGCCTCCCATGGTAGAACCTTACTGGTGCCAGTGCTTGTGGAAATATACCTCCTCCATGGTCCATAAACATTGTTGGCCTGGAACAAGAACAAAAGAATTCATATTATTGGCCACTAAAGAAAAGTCAACCATGCACAAGTATGTATACCTCAAACTGTTTCCAAGCAGTGTGTTCTTACAGGCGAGGTAGCTCCAGTAGCATGAGGAACAGACACGAGGCGCAGGTAGCGGCAGCACGCCAGAAACAACCTCCTCATTCAAGGCAGCGTGCTGGTGAAATCATGGAAGGGCGGCCAGTGGCGGATCCAGGAAAAATATACAGGGGTGAAACACAGTGCTCTAGAACAAGCGAACAACATAATTCCATCACATTCCATACAAGTCAAAATGTACTAGTTTAAAGTGGTATAATTCAATACATAATTCAGTAAACGGGTTTGTATAGAGCTACAAAATTCATTTGGTTTGGTATATAATTAGAAAATGGCCAAAACACAAAGGTCTCATAATACATTAAGTTTAACAAAAAAAGCATATCAGGCTCTGATTTGATTGCAAGATAACATAAGCGAATCCCTCGTCAATGTCTACTGAAACAATGAATATATCCCTTCCCACACGCATAATAATGTAACAAACCAATTCCAAGCTAAGATAAAGCTCCTAAACAAAATCTAGAGATTCTACACTAAACTCATCAGAGACACAGAGATTTTTTTTTTTTTTTTTTTTAACGAGAGAGACACGGAGATTGTTAAGCAAACGTACACTTGAAATCACCACATCAGAGCAGCGCAGATGTAGAGGGCCGAGGACGGCGCTGGACGATTAGCGCTACAGCCTACAGGCACAGCCGTGGACGACAGGGACGGCGGCAGAGGCACGGAGGTAGAGAACAGGGACGCGCGGGACTGGTCGAGCGCTGGCGGGTTTCGGCGGCTCGGCGCGCGCTGCTCGGTGGTTGGGTCGGTCGTCGGCCGCCGCCGCGGCCGCCGCTCGGTCGAGTCGAGACGCCGCCTCAGACGGAGCTGGGAAATAGCACCGCCGCAGGGACTGACAGGGAGATGGGCTACCGCCTACTGTGTGCTATGGTTAGGCAGCGCGTTGGGCTTTCTCCAGTTTCGGCCTTCAGTTCAATGTCTAAGTAGTAGAAGGGTTTTGGGCCAAATTGGGGTGGTTTTCGGCCTATACAGTATCCTTTGGACCCGCCCCTGAGTCCCTGAGTATAGGGCACCTGCTCTCGAGTCTCTCGACTCGGCTGCTGCCGACGCCGCCACCACGACTCCGCTCGCAGTGACTGGATCCTACCGCCGCAGCCCGCTGCCTGCCCGCTGGCCACCGCCCTGCTGGATCCCTGTCTCCCTCCGCCGGTCTGATGCCCTCGCCCCTCGGCAGGCGGCAGCTCATCTCGAGTGCTCCCTTCTCGCCCACGGCCGTGCTCGTGTAGCCCGGCCGGCGTCACCGCCGGAAAGGTGTAGGCAGAGCAGCGGCGCCGTGCTGCACCGCCCCCGGGCCCCGGCTGTCTTGCGCCACCACCCTGCGGTCGGGCCTTCAAGGTTGCACTCCTATTCGTCTGCTCTGGTACAGCTGCAACCTACAATTTGGTACATTTCTCTCCTGTCTTACTCCCTAATTTCCAATTCCAACTGTTTGTTGTTGTAGTCTCTATTAAATTGCATTGAAAATTGAAAGTAGAGCCATCATTTTAAAATGAAAATTAACAGAATGTTCACAACGAAAAGGACCAAAATTTTGGCATCTTATTTTCCCTCAGGCTGCTATCAAACAACCGAAGGTATTTGTTTTTGTGTGTATCATGTAATGTTTTTAACTATTTTATCGCACTAAACATGTAGTTAAACCATCATCTCGACTTTAAATTTTTCTTTCATTTTATTTGAATTCTTTTTGTAATATACATGGAGTAGTTTTCACCAGTAGGAAGTGGCCCTAATCTTGAACAAATCCCGGGTCTGCCACTGGCGGCACTCCAACTCCAGGCACTAATGAGGGCACAAGTCAACCAAAGAAACCTAGGGCAGGGTTTATGCACTTGAACAAAATTGAGTATCCAAGAAATCTTCAAACCAATTGAAAATCATCCACTTGAAATTAGAGACCAAATGAGGTGGGCATATGCTTTGAGTGGTCCAATCCAACCTCGTAATCATACATTTCCTCGTATGTTAGTGCCTAAAAATCATCAAATGGTTTGAAGAAATGTAAGATCGTCGTATGTTAGTGCCTAAAAAGACTTCAGTGGTATACACCATCCTTTTCTATTCTACTTTTAGAATTTTAATTAATATTTGTGTCATTATTTAATTTATTTTTTGTATAGATTGAACCTTAGGAAGAATAATGGGTGTCACGTGTCATGCCTTCATCTATTAGTTTGGTATGGAAAAATTGCATCTTTTACTTCTTCTTATGTTGTATTTTGAACGATTCATCTATGTGTTAATATAAAAACCACTTTAAACTAGTACATTTTGACTTGTATGGAATATGATGGACTTATGTTGTTTACTTCTTCTAGAGCGCTTTATTTCAGCCCCCCCCCCCCCCCCCAATATATTTTTCATGGATCCGCCACTACCTACAAACGTTGAATAGCCTAAGGAAGTTCTGTTGTATCAATTACACTAGTTGCTTTCATTCTGGAAAACGTGATGTCACCTTTCTCCTTTTCTTTTCCTCTTATGAAACAAAGAGTTATCTTTTCCAATGTTGAAATAATTAAAGGGCAATGAGGACCATATACTTTTCCCCATGTACAAGTCTAGACACAACATATATTTCGACTAGAGGTAGTGTGTGGAATTCCAATGGCACTGTCTGCTCCAGTTCATTCACCTTTATATATGATGGTGCAAATAGTGCCGCAGGTGTACTCATCATGATTCTGTTAAGAATGTCTATACAAAATTAATGACACGTCTGCTCTATTTTCAGTCTGACTTGAAAACTTTGGAACCAATGGAAGAGGAAGAGTATAGCTCTGAAACATCTAACGAAGAAGATGGCGAAAAAGAAGGAAATGCTGCTGAGAGTGATGTCTTCAGACCAGTTGATGTAGATCCAGCATGTTTACCAAAAGTAGGGATGATATTTGACTCGGAGGAAGATGCCTTTCAGTTTTATGTGACATATGGCTGTCACGCAGGTTTTGGTATTACAAGAAGATCTAACAATACCTTTGATGGTTTCCGCTATCGCTCTACATTCATATGTTCTAAAGGAGGGCAGTCTAGACTGAGATCTGGTGTGACAAGACCTGCAAGAAAGCGAGGCATGAAGACTGGCTGCAAGGCCAAGATGATTGTGAAGGATGCCCATTTTCAAAATCGCTGGGAAGTAATTGTTCTTGAGTTAGAGCACAACCATCCGTTGGATCCGAGCTTGCTTAAGTTCAAGAGACATTTGAAGAACTCAACTTTTTCGATAAATCCACCTCAAATTTGTGAGTCTGAGGGACAACAGATCAACTCAGCTCTTGTACAATCAAGCAGAGTTGGTGATACTGGTGTAACTTCGTCCTCTACACAGATTGAATTCAAAGCCAAAATAGACAGAAATAGGAAATTGAAGCTCGCAGAAGGAGACTTAGATGCCCTGTTGGATTTTCTCAACAAAATGCAAGACCAAAACCCTTGTTTCTTTTACAGTTTAGATATGAATGAGCAAGGGCAGCTAAGGAATGTCTTTTGGGCTGACGCTAAATCACGCAGTTCATACAATTACTTTGGTGATGTTGTTGCTATTAATGTCACAAACTTTAGTGATCAGTATGATATGCAGTTTGTGTCATTCATGGGCACTAACCACCATGCACAGCCAGTGTTACTAGGTTGTGGCCTGCTTGCTGGTAGATCTCTTGGGGCTTATGTGTGGCTTTTTGGTACATGGTTAAGATGTATGAATGCCAAGCCACCACATTCAATAATTACAAACTACTGTCATGATGTAGCGATAGCTATTAAAAAGGTTTTCCCTAACGCAAGGCACCGTTTTTGCCTTTCACACATCTTAAATGTGCTTCCTGAAAAGTTGGAAGAAATGGAGAACAAGGATGAAATTATTTCCACATTCACCACACTGGCCTATGATTATGTTACTGTGCCTGACTTTGACAGAGAGTGGCAAGATACCATCCAACATTTTCGTTTAGAGGGAAATGAATGGCTGTCCAAACTATATGAGGTCAGGATGCAGTGGGCTCCTGTTTATGTTAAGGATTCGTTTTGGGCAGGAATGTCTGTCACAGACAGAAGTGATAGTGTAACCGACTATTTTGATGGCTGGTTGATGTCAGGAACCTCTTTGAAAATGTTTGTAGAGCAATATGAGGAAGCTGTTAAAGGCAAGTTAGAAAAGGAATCTTATGAAGATTTACGATCAGCTCAGATGAGGCCACTAATGGTGACGGGGTTGCCCGTGGAAGATCAAGCAGCAAAGGTGTACACTGCAGAAATCTTTCAGAAGTTCTTCAATGAAATAGGACATTCATTTCATTGCAATTATAGTATACTTGAACGTAATGATTCAATGGTTACATACATAGTTTCGGAGCATGTCGATCAAACAAACAAGGTAGACTACAAAGTTGCTTATGATAATGTTCAAGGTGACATATGGTGCCTCTGCCGTTTGTACCAATCCAAAGGAATATTGTGCAGGCATGCACTCACTGTACTGAGACAGGAGCTTGTGCCGATGATTCCACAAAAATACATCATTCATCGCTGGTGCAAGGACTGTAAACAAACCTGTGCTTCGATATCCCAGCCTGTCTCAGCAGGTAATCAGGAACTGGGAAGCTACGATGATCTGTACAAACTTGGCCACCAATACTTTGCAGAAGTTGTGGAATTTGGTTCCATGAACTCAGAATCAAAAGAATATGCTTTGTCAATCATGAGAGAAATCAGGGATAAAGTGATTTCATATGAGAAGTCACTAAGAGATCAAAGGGTTGACAGCCATGTTTCAACAGCCAACTTTGCATACAATCCTGTGAACGAGGATTTTACTGATGATGCTTTGCCCATCTCTCTTAGTACAAAGGGCTGGGATCTTACTCAAGGCCAATCCAAACGTTCCCGAAAGAAGAAGCTGGCGACCCCAACTGTTCTTGATACTTTGAAAAAGAAAACTAAAAGGGCATATAACAAAAGGAGGAATGCCACTGCAAACACCCTGAACACAGCTGCCACTGTAACTGACAGTGTAACTGATGGCACAAATGTATGTGTTGTTATTAGATTTCTACATTTGGCTAAAAATTATTGTTTTGGAAATAATTTTTTTCTCTTATTTTTTATTAGGTTCAGCAGAATCCTGTAAATGAGGGATGGCCGTTAACGTCAACTAGTGCTCCGGAAACTTTCCCTTATGGAGTAATCCCAGATATAATCTTTCCATTTTTGTCATCTCTTTGCTCTTTCAGGAGTTGGAGTACTAAGTAACATTCATTTTTGCAGGTGGAGAACATTTCATTTGATTTGTCACAATACAACAATGCCCCAAGCTTCCACTGGCCTGAAAGCAGCAGCAGATCTCAGCTCCAGTGAGAGTAGGCAGCAATGCAATTGTGGATGCCTTTCCAATAGACTAAGTTCTGACAGCCTTGTAATTTGGAAAAACTAGGGTGATGGATCAGGTTTGATCTTTCTATTCCTGCGTGGGACTCTGGGAGTCGGTGACCACCTGAACAAAGATGAAAAGAAAGGAGATCAAAAGTGATGAAGTGAAATCTACCATCTTTGAACCAATTTAGTTGAAAGGGTTCTGTACATAATCATTTCTTTTTTTTTCTTCCATGGATATTTGCAGCTCCCAATAGGTTTTATCTGAACCATGTATGTTAGGTCAGATGCCCCTGAATCGATTTCAAATAAGGACCTGATGTTTCCTGTGTATCCCTCGTGAAATCGTATGCCCTTCTCTGATGAAGCCGTTTGTAACCAGATGTTTATTGCTTCATCAAGTTTCTTCATCTGTGTTCTCTAATATTTGTTCTGTCCAGTATCTTGTATCATTTTATCCTCTGCAACTGATAAACTAGAGCAAGCTGAAGGCCAGCTGGCACACATTTGATTTGGTTGTATGCTTATGCCATCAGAAGGAAAGAAAGAGGTCAGTTTCTTCATCTATGTTCTCTAAGCTAACTTGTGTGTCCATTGATGTCCAACACTTCTGTTTTGTCCTTTACAAGAATGATACTGCTTAATTTTCATGTCTATTGCCATTTGTCACCCAAAATTTTCTAGGTTTTTGTAGCTTCTACCTGTCAAATTAAGAAATCAGGAAGTTCTTATCTGGTTAATAGTATGATGTTATTGATCTGTGTGTTTTCGCCCTTCTATGTCATTGTCAATAATTAGTGGATCTTACTGTGTAGTGTGTACTTTCAACTAATAAAATAAATGCTGGATACAGTTGACAAATTGAAGCCTTGTCATTATCAAGTAAAGCACTGGGATGTGACTAATTGTCTGAGTACTCTGACATAGAACTTCACCTGATTATGAATGGGGAAAGTGGAAGAGCTTGTAAACATTTTCTATAGCGGCTTGAATATCACAACCAGGAGATAACAAACAGTAGAGTACATAAAAGGGCATGGATTTGGGTCTGCTAAAATGTGACTCAGTGGGCAAATAAATTAATGGATCGAACTTCTGAAGTTCAATGATCTAAGTCCCTATGAAAGGCTGTTTCTATTTTATGCTTCAGTTATAGATACACCAGTATATCTTGTGGTGATGAACTTCTTTTGTTCAATTACTTACTTTATTGGGAGGACACTTGAGACCAATCTGTTCAAGTCATAAACATAAAGTCAAGTCGGGCACGATTAGTTAGTTTTCTAGTTGAGCAAGTTGGCTAATACTAGATTTTTTTTTTCTTTTGTCTTACTCGTGATGTGATTAACTCCGTTTGGATCTTCGAATGTTGCCTTTATCCTTATGAGTTATGACGCTTGATGCCTTCAGGTCATAATTCACAAAAGACGTCCTCTTCAACTCAGTTCACCCGTCAAGCAAGGCAAGCACAAGTGCTCCAGATTCATCTGGTCCTGAGCCTGAGATTATTACTATGGAAAGGCGACATTGAATATTTGTGTTATGCAATCACTAAGATAGTGGCAAGCATAGCTATCTGATTCAGAACGTGCAAAACTGATGCAGCACACTATTTTGGAGGATCAACTCCAAGGTGCTGATACATAGAAATAGCACAAAGTGTTGATGGAACAGCTTCAATGTGCTAGTAGATAACGCCCTAAGGGCAGTCCGAATCCACGGACAACAATCCGAATCCACAGATAATACGAGCTCAATCCAAAGCTCAAGAACAAGATCTAGTCCAAGATCTTAAGATAGAAACCTGGAGTTCTATTCATATGGTGGGAAATACAAGACAAAAGTTAAAAACTTGATGACATTGCCTCTATTTATAGGCTATGAGCCCTTAGAGAACTCATATACACCTAATAGCCTACTAGATGACAACTAACATGACAACTAATATATTACTCAATGACATCTAAGAAACAACTCATAGGACACCTTAGTATCTTTTAGTATCATGTATATGGCATATACTATGACATCACATTACTTCTAGACTAAGCAACTCTCCATAAAACATAGAGGTAAAACTCAGTTTGAATTCATGATTCTAGTAGTAAAATTAGATTTCTCCTCTAACTCTTAGTATCAAAATCTAGTTTGAATTCATATGCTTGAATACACTTGAATGTTCATGATCCATCTATATGATGTCCCTCATCATTCTCCTCTACTTGATTGAAACTCGACCTCGAGTTATCTTCATAAAGATGTTGTTATGGATGATAAAGCGATAGATCAGCCACATTAAAAGTGTTGGAAATGTTCATCTTTCTTGGTACATCAACAACATAAGCATTGTCATTTGTCTTCTTCAAAATAGAGAACGGGCCATATTTCATTTGTCTTAGCTTTCCATGAACTCCTGCTGGCAATCTCTCTTTTCTAAGATATACCATCACTTGGTCACCAACCGCAAACGACATTGGTCTTCTTCTTTTGTTGGCCAGTTGTTTGTATTTCTGATTTGACGCTTCTAGGACATCATGGACTTCTTTGAACAAATTAGAATAGTTGTTAGCAAAGCTTGTTGCTAACCTTGAATTCTCCCTTGAAGGTAGTTTTATTAAATCAACCACATGCTTTGAAACTTTTGTGTAGACAATGGAGAATGGGCTCCTTCCTGTAGATCTATGCTCTGAATTGTTATAAGGAAATTCAGCAAGTGATAAGACTAAATCCCATTGTCCTTTCTTGTTTCCACATATACATTGAATTAAGTTATCCAAGAACTTGTTCACTACTTTTGTTTGGCCATCTGTTTGGGGATGTGCTGTGCTTGAAAATTTCAGTTCAGTGTTGAATTGCTTCCATAATGTAAGCCAAAATGAAGCAAGGAATTTGCTGTCACGATCTAAAACAATTGATCTCGGAACACCATGTAGCCTAACTATTTCTCTAAAGAAAAGATTAGCCACATGATGAGCATCTGTTGTCTTTCGACATGGAATGAAATGAGCTATCTTAGAGAATTTGTTAACTACAACATATACTGCATCATTCCCACGCCTTGTTCTTGGCAAGCCAAGTATAAAGTCCATTGAGAGATCCTCCCATGGTGCACTTAGGGTTTCTAATGGAATATATAATCTGGTATTCTAGACTTGGCCTTTATAGGTTTGGCATACAGGACACCTTTGCACAAACTTTCCAGCATCTCTTTTGAGTTGTGGCCAATAATAACGTTCTTGCAAGTTGGCTATGGTCTTGTCATGCCCAACGTGGCCACTAAGATCACTTGAATGCAGTTCTCTAATTAGTTTGTCACGTAGAGAACTTCTTGGAATGCATAGTTGATCATTCTTAAAGAGATAACCATCTTGCACCACATAATCTTTATCTAATGGCTTCCCTTGTAGATGCTTCAACTAGACTTGACCAAAGTCATCATCATGCTCATATAATTCCTTCATTTGGTCCATACCTAGAAGTTCAGCCTCAAAAGATGTTAGAAGACAAGCACGCCGACTCAAAGCATCGGCCACTTTGTTTGTTGCTCCTGACTTATGAACAATGAGATAGTTAAATTTTTCTAAGTATGCTGCCCATCTTGCTAACATGCAATCCACATGCTTTTGATTTCTAAAATGCTTCAGAGATTGATGGTTAGTGTAGACAATGAACTCCTTAGGTAACAAATAAACTTCCCAAGTTTTTAAAGCTCTGAAAACTGCATATAGCCCTTGTTGATAGGTACTCCATTTCTGCCTTGCTTCACTTAGTTTCTCACTAAAGAAAGCAATGGGTTTTCTCTCTTGAGATAGAACAGCTCCAATGCCTACTCCACTTGCATCACATTCTAGCTCAAAAGTCTTGTTGAAATCAGGAAGGACCAAGACCGGAGCTTGTGACAGCTTCTTTTTAATTTCTTGGAAACTTGCTTCAACAAATTCATTCCATTGAAATTTCCCTTTCTTTAAATATTCAGTAATTGGTGCCATAATAATGCTGAAGTTCTTGACAAATCTTCTATAGAAAGTTGCAAGACCATGGAAATTCCTCACTTCTGTAATAGCCTTTGGAGTTGGCCAATCTCTTATTGTAGCAACTTTGGAATCATCAACATGAATACCTTCACTTGTTATGACAAAGCCCAAGAAAAGTAGTCTCTTCTGTAGAAAAACACATTTCTTCAAATTGACATAAAGCTCATTTTCCTTTAGAACTTCTAATACTTGTCGAACGTGATCAAAATGCTCATATTCATTCTTACTATAGATTAAGATGTCATCAAAATAAACCACAACAAATCGAGATAAGAAGGGTCAAAGGACTTGGTTCATCAAATGCATAAAAGTACTTGGTGCATTTGAAAGTTCAAATGGCATAACAAGCCATTCATATAGCCCTTCCTTGGTTTTGAATGCTGTTTTCCATTCATCACCAGGTCTAATGCGAATTTGATGATATCCACTTCTTAAATCAAGCTTAGTGAATACCTTTGCCCCACTTAATTGATTCAACATATCATCCAAATGGGGAATAGGAAACCTGTATCTTATTGTGATCTTGTTGATTGCTCTACTATCCACGCACATACGTCAAGAACCATCCTTCTTTGGTGTGAGCAAGGCTGGCACAGCACATGGACTAATGCTCTCTTGGATATGTCCTTTTTGTAGTAACTCTTCCACCTTCTCCTTCAATATAGCATGCTCTTTTGGGCTCATTCGGTAGTTTGGCAGATTAGGAAGAGTTGCACCAGGAACGAAGTCAATTCGGTGTTGAATTTCTCTCATTGGTGGCAAATGTTGTGGCTCCCCAAGTATACTATGAAATTCATATAATAGACCTTGTATCTCCGCTGGAATTTCAACAACAGGTTGCTCTTCTCCCTTAACGATCAAGGCAGCACATAAATTTGCTTCTTTCACGTCTTCTACAAAGTCTCTTGATGTTTGGGAAATAGCTAACATATTCTTCTCCTCTACTTTAGA